CTCTACCACTTGAGCCACAGCGCCACTTCCGGCTTTTTTCTTTTTGCTTATGTGGTGCTGAGGAATCGAACCCAGGGCCTCGAGCATGCAAGGCAAGTGCTCTACCACTGAGCCACCTTCCCAGCCCGGCTTTCTGGTGGTTAAGTGGAGATAAAGTTGGTACGTCTCATGGTTTTTATTTTATTTATTTTATTTTTTTTTGCCGGTTGTGGGGCTTGAACTCAGGGCCTGGGCACTGTCCCTCAGCTCTTCAGCTCAAGGCTAATGTCCTACCACTTGAGCCACAGTGCCACTTCCAGCCTTTTCTGCTTATGTGGTACTGAGGAATAGAACCCAGGGCCTCATGCATGCAAGGACAAGCACTCTACCACTGAGCCACTTTCCCAGCCATCTCCTGGGTTTTAACTGTCTTGCCCATGCTGGCTTCCAACCCAAACCCTCCAATCTCAGCCTCCTGAGTAACAGGAGCATAGGTGTGAGCCACCAGCACCCAGCTCTTTTCTTTCTTTTTCTCTCCCCCACCCCCACACCACTTGTGGTGGTGGTGCTAGGGCATGAACTCTTGAACTCAAGACCTTGCACAGTCGCTCCTGGGGTTTTCCACTCAGAACTGAGCTGTGAGTGAAGTATACTAGTCAAGCTACCATCTGAGCCACAGCCGCTTCCAGCTTTATGCCAGTTAATTGAGGAAGTCTGTTGGGTGAGTCTGTTGGATTTGTCTGCCCAGGCTAGCGGTGTGAACCCTGATCCGCAGATCTCAGCTTCCTGAGTAGCTAGGATTATAAGACCAGGTGCTTGTTAGGCAAGTACTCTACTCACTTGGGCCCTTTTGTTTGGTTTATTTCTCAGATAGGCTCTTGCTTTTAAACCCAGCTGGCCTCGGGCCACAATCCTCCTACCTGCACCTCCTGGGAGCTGGGATTACAGAAAACACCGCCCGGGTGCCCCACAACACTGCTCTGCCCAAGTGAAGAGTTTCCCTGGTGGAAGGAAGGGTAGGAGGAAGGTGAGGGCCCCAAGGGCAGTGCTGGCACAGAAAGGGGGGGGATCCCCAAGAGAAAATCAGGGAAAGTGGGACGTGGAACTGGGTTACATCAGGAGTAATGATTGCATTTCTGTTTTTCCCTTAGATTACTTCATCCTTCCCTTGTGGTTTCTCTTTTAAAGGAGCTGGGAAAACACAGGCCAGATGAACACGACTGAAGGAGGAGACTCTGGGGAAACCAAAGCCCAAGAGAGACCATAACAATCACCCACCACTGATGTCCAGGGCCTGCATGCACACAGCGCGGTTGAAGACCTGAACCCAAGGCCCGGGATTGTGCAGAACTGCCCACAGTGGACGGCTTCCCTCCCCCTCTCCTGAGCTACACCAAGAATAGTGAGCAAGAAATGGTGCCCATTCGAGGATGACAGCTTTACTTTTGTATTCTTCTTTTTTGTGCCAGTACTAGGGCTTGAACTTCAGGCATTTTGCTCTAGCTGGCTCTCAACCATTTGAGCCACAGGTCTACTTCCTAATTGCTACTTCCTACTTGCTAATTAAAGAGTCTCTCAGATTTGTCTACCCTGCCTGGCTTCAAACCAAGATACTGAGATCTCAGCCTCTAGAATAGCTAGAGTTACAGGCGTGAGCCCCCCATGCTTGACTAGAAAGGCACCTCTGAAATTACTCTCCTGGTATGAAACTCTTTCTTGAAGATCCCTCCGCAAAAACACCCACTCTCTGACACGGCTCTGGAGCTGTACTTACGTAAGATTCAGGAGCTTCGATATGACATAAACATAGTATCTGACAAACTTTACATAGCTCAACTACGGGCTATGATTATCTACATACACAGCGGACACTATTCACCCACGATCAACAAAAACACACATCAAACCTTAGTGCCAGTGTTGTGTTGATGAGCGATCCCTTCTTAGCCAACATCACACCTACACCTGCAGCCGGAAAGCTGACAGGGTTTCATGTCTGTCCAGCGCCCAAGTCACCTTCACCCTGGCCAAGTGTGAGCGGAAGCCTCCTCCAGTGTGAGTGTGGATGCTGCCGCCTGCGCCACGGCCCTGGGCCGCACTCTGTGTGCCATGGAGCCTCATCCGTACCCTGCACACGTGGCTCAGTGTCCGGCTGGGGGTATTGTTTTGCCTACCTTCTCACTCCTCACAAATACCCTTGGTTTTGCTTCTCTTCCTCCCCCTCCCCAATACTTAAATTACATGTTAAGCATGATTTCCAAAATTCTTTCAGTCAACAAGTACCATGGGAAGAATTCCCCAAGATCAGTCACAGATTCGGAACCTGGTCCCTGAGTCAAATGCAGAGGTAAGATCGAATCCACCCTCCCAGGGTGGGGGCAGAACCTTTGGGACCTTTCAGTCGCAGCCCTCACTCAGGACAGAAGTGACTTTCCTAACTGACATCTTCCCGGGGCGCATCTGCCAAGCAGGTGCCCTGGGAAGCATGGAGAGCAGAGGTCTTGGCTTGCGTCGGAAAGCTCAGTTACCCAAGGAAGCAGATCATGGAATACTCAGGATGAGGCTGGCTTCATGGCTCACACCTAATCAGATGCCGGCAGTTCCCAGGCCCAGGCCCGCGCCTGCACAGCCGCCTTCTTGCTGCGGGAGTCATTTCTGTGTTCACATGTCATCCACAACCACCTTTCCTTTTAAAACTATAAATGAAAATCTTGTGGAAAATGGAGGGTGGGGTTCAATCAGACCCTCTTTTCCCTTCCCGTTTAATTTTAAACAACTGTCCCTTTATTTAAACTTCTCTGAGACGGCATGTAAGATATGTGTTTCAGGAAGGACCGATTGTGCCAGAGGTAAACTGGACTCCACACTATATTTTGCCCCACAGAAGTTTCGATGCTCAGAACCTTCCTCAGAGCCGGCACTGGGACTTTACACAGCTGGGCAGTCACACTGGACCCACAGGGAGTCTGACACCTGCTCACACCTGACACCAGCCGCCCAGGAAGGGCCAGGGCTGTGTGCAGCCACAGGGATGTCCCTTGTCCCCTCTCAAAACTCTCCAGATGAGGGGGGGAGGGCGGAGCAGGGGACCCCGAAGGGGCTGGAAGCAAAATGGAAAGGCTGCAGGGTGGAGGGGGGCAGGACAGCCGCGGTCTGCCAGAAGGAAGGAGGGCTGCCTTGGTGAAAACTACCACCCATTAGTGAGGGAGGACAAAAAGACTTCTCCCAACCGAAGGCTGGGACTTCTACCTCTGGCTCCTTGTTGTCGGTGGTGATGGTGATAGTGGTGGTGTCTGTGTGCATGCATGTGCGTGTGTGCATGCATGCATGTGTGTGTGTGCATGCGCGTGTGTTCCTTTTCCAGGAAGCCAGGGAGCAGCTCTTTCTCAAGGGGCACCACAGAAACAAAGCAGATAGAGGAAGCCCCCCGCAAAGGTGTAGCCGGTCAACCCGGACAGGGTCCGAAGGCGGGGGCCCCTCCTGGCCCGGAGGGATGGGGTGCGGCAGAGGGTGAGCCGGGGGTCCGGCCGGGGTGCAGGGGCGCGGACCCCGGGGCGGCGGCACCAGGGCCTCCCGCGCCCGGCGCCCCGCTTACCTTCGTCCGGCCGTTGATGCGGTAGTTGCCCAGCTTGCCGCTGCAGTGGCGGATGAGGTCGTCCATGCTGCTCATGAGCAGACCGATGGTGTGGCAACCGGGCTCCTTGCCCTCTACCCAGGTGATCTGGTCGCCGCGGATGTCCCGGGACGAGTCGCTCTTCTGGCTGACCAGCTGGCCGTCGGTGAAGCGGCCGGTGTCGTGCAGCGCGCGCACCTCGTCGCCGACGCGCTGGCCGGTGTCGCGGCCCAGGAAGTCGTCCACCACGCAGATGCCGTGCTTGTTCATGCAGGGCACGATGTACTCCAGCGCCAGCTTCAGCGCGGGCAGCGGCTTC